GTTACTTAGCACAACTTTGAAACTGTAATGTACCAGTTGGACTTTGTGACTCAGCAGCTTCAGTGAATAAGGAAAAGAACTGTCGTATGGATAACTAATAATCTGAATGGTTTTGAAGCTGAAAGAGATCATAATATCGAGAAATTATATTGAATTTCAAGTCGATTCGATTAACTGATTAAATGAACACAAATAGATGTGTGAACAGTGGGACCACAAAACATAAGAGATGAATACAATTCAATTCAACCGAACTCTAAGTCATTGATCTACAAAAGCAGTATAAAAGTATGACGTTTAAATCTCAATAATTATGAACTTGGATAGAATATAACAGTAGTTGATTTATAGAATAAAGCAAGCATATAACTGAATGTTGTCAATTTACAAATTCCGGATTAAGCTAAACAAAGTCCCGCAAAAAAAAAAACAACTTTCATTGTTTGATATTCATTCCTTTCTCTAAAATCAAATTTCATTCATCGATAATAAAATCACAATCTTCATATTTCTTATCACTAATGACTACTGAAATGTGTGTGTTGATTTTTGTTTTGTGACAAAAAACAACTTTTTTTTGAACAAAAACTATCAGTTTCATGTATGTTAATTAGTTTCACTGGAATAATCTAATCAAATTTTGAATGCAATAATGAAATTTGATCCTCGAATCAAATGAATGGCATTATATATTCTGTCTGATAAATTGCATATATTTATGTGAGACTTGAAAATACACTTTAAAGCTATTTCTATATCAGAACAACGAACATACATACCAATCCTGAATGAAATGAAAAAGCAGAATATTAAATTCTCTATAGTCAGTTGTGTTTTCGGAAATAGGCTCACTAGTGACTAGATTCGTGAAGAAATTCTTGGAGCTTTAGTGCGAAGATGTGACTAGTGGAGGTCAACCCCGTCGGTTGTAGACAATACCTATGAGAAACAATAGAGCAGGTTGCACAAAATCCTTCGATTGATAAGAGTTAGACATTAATTCCGCTGGGTGCAGGTTAAGTAGTCCGGGGGTTAAACATTCTGGGTTTGAATCCTAGGGAATAGCAGGAGTCGTGGGTGCTCACTGATGACGAGTCCCATACCACGACGGAATGGCCGTCTAGTGCTTCCAGGTTTCTAATGGTGGTCTTTGAATGATTCACTCATTATTTCGATGTCTCAGAGTTATCAAATCCTGCTTGAATCATTACTCTATTTTCGAATGATGATGACAGTTAAAATGTTTGGATATGAAATATATCCCAAGAAACACTCGAGAAAGTGTTCTTCCTAAAATCAATTCCCACCTTATTTCATATTCTGATGTATTTATGCAACTTATGATGACTTTTTGTGCAAAAATTACTTTTAGGCAACATTTTGTGGTACGGCCGGTAATGACCTAGAAGAAGGTTATCACTTCAATTCTTTGGATTTTGAAAAAATGGGCTCATATTTTTGTGATACATTGCTTGATTATATCGATCCAGCTAATGAAAAGGTATTTTAAAAGTTATATAATTATGATATTGGTAACAATGATTACACTTGGATAATATAATTTATATACTTTGAAAGTTTAAAATCGATGTAATGTATGATGGTGAAACTGAAACATGATTGGTAGGTGATCGATCGTAGACAAATCAAAACATGGTTTCCTTTCCTGCCAGTGATTCTTACTTTAGACTCCCTGAAGTCAACCGCTTTTAATTGTCTATTGCTTAGTTCGGTTCTCTATTCGGTCAAGAAACACATTGCCCTCAGGAATGGAGACAAACATAAGAAGAATAAACAGAAGTTGGACAGAACTGGAAAGGGAAGCCTCGAACAGAGTAGGTTGGAGAATATTGGTCAGGGGCCTATGTTCCAATAGGAGTAACAAGTGTAAACCGTAAACCAAACAATATATCTGGTCATGAATCGGGTGTCTGACTTAAAGTGATCTAATCTCTTTGCAGTAAACCATTTGAGTACGCGATGCAGTACTAGTATAAACTTAGTCACCCACCCAGTCTCTTTAACGTTATTATTGTATTCATACCACAGGAAGAGAAATATTCCAATACCACGATTGCGTCACACTGGTATGAACAATTAGATATCTTCAGATTTCTTTATGATTATTTCAGAATTAACCACTTTAACGATAACATTTTGGTGGGGAAAAATAGTTGGTATTTCGTATTGTTTGTGTAAATCCAATTAATTCTTCAGTTTCTGCACATATTTTAAATCAACGGATTAGATTAAAACTAATAGTTAACTATCTAAGAGAGTTTACAGCACAAACTGCTTCTAAATAGATAAACTCTGAAAGTCATTGAACTCTGAACACTTGCTCTCCTTGTATAAAACTCATTAACTGTGCAACCTCTCATCTAAAATAGGGTTTTTAAGTCTGTTGGTAACTTTTTTAGTCTATTTTTTAAGTGTAAAATTTATAATTGATTTATACTATAACTTGACAGCTGAATATCGGTTAATTCGCCACGAAATGACTTTATTTAGAGTACACTGAATAGTCACTTCATCCCAGTATAGAACAGTAAGCAGCAGTATACAGTCAATTAGAAGAGAGTCATATAATGTCACAAATCTAGTGAACTTAAAAATCTATCCATCTGTCTCCTAACCTACTTACCGTTCTGATACTCAACCACTTGCTCTACTACTTAGACATTTAAGCTTAGATCTGTAACCTGCTGATGAATGTACACCTCATGTTTGGATGAAGCCACCATTCAATGTACCCTACTTTCAATCGTACCTCAAGTTCAGTCAGTTCGTGATTAATCACAAAATGAATTTATCCAAACTAAAGCATTTGTGAGACTTGTCGATGAAAAAGAATAAATGAAGTTTGCGCCACAGTAATAAACTTTTTCGTACCTACTTCCGAATGAAGCAGGCTGTGATGATGTTGTAAATAGTTTTTTCAATTACTGAACTCTATCATTCAAAAGGATTCAACAGAAAATTTGCATTTTTCATCATAACTGGCCAAATCGACATCACATCACTAATCGCATTAGTAAATAAATACTGTTATGTCCATTACCTATGTGCACACAGTATCAATATTCTTTCAGTTAACTAGTGTCTTATTTGCTTAATTTACTGGGAATTCATTTTAGACGGAACATATTATGCAATATTTGAAAAATCGTGTTGTTTCTTTGAGAATGTCTAAACCAAATGATTTCGACGATGATGCAGTTTCTTCGGATAACAGTAGGTTAGTGAGTGTACGTTTCTCTATTTTTAAAAAAAAGTTTTATCGATTGTAAACTCACAGTTTTTGTTTTCTAGACAAAATTATTAGTCTGTCTGTTTCAGTTTCTTCTGAAGGTGCATAATGCAATAAACTGATTCATCTTCACCGGAATCTCGAATTGATCATCCTCAATGAATTACCTCGAATCAAAATGTACATTGATTCTATATTACTCATCATCAAATGTTCGTTCATTTTCCGTTAATTACAGTTTTTTACTGACGAAATATCATTGTCCCAGATGATGTCTATGTTGTCATAAAAGCTGACAATCTTAGAATTATTGTTTGAATCTGTTACGCATACACGTAAACAGGTAATTTGAATTATTATGAGTCTGCCTTAGTCGCAAACGAGAGTGAGGATCTAGGATCCGGTCACACGACAGGCTACTCTAATCCGATTGTCCCAAACCCCCATTGTGTAAAAGAAGAAGACTTGATATGAAGTAGAACATGTATTCTTCAAGCATCAAGAAGGTTCGAGGTCCGAGTCCAGAAGAGAATCAGGATCCCGGACTAAGGATCCGGGCCCTCGTCTGGGTCATAAAACGATACAGATAATGCGTATTCATACAGTTAGGTCAAATAGGAAACAACATTGAAGTACGTAACCTTGATAGTTAACACCACCAATAGGAAACACCATTTGAAGTGACATTGATAGCTAGGACGACTATAATATTGACCTGCAGGAACTGACCAATAGAAACAGACTTCCAAAAATAATTCTCATACAATATTTGATGAATATCCTGACAGAATCCAATGAATAATTATTAGTAAAGTTGTTGAATCGAACTAGTCAATGATTATATTAGTAGCATCCTTTAAAAATTTTCTATTTACTGACTAGTTAACTCCACATTATTTATTCGTTACTCAAGTTCAAATTACAAGAAACGAAATGCTGAAATGAACATTCAATCATTTCGGACTGAGTAAACATGTTTCATAAGGAAAACCAACTAGAGAAAAAAGTCTTTATTACATATAAATAATTTCATGTTATTGATTATACGAATATTTGTACCATCATACACTGAAAACTAGATTCGAGACCTGCGAAAACTAGTTCCTCCTACTCGATATATCGATTAGGGAACAGAGAAGATTAGTGCTAATAAATTTCTATCAGTCAGACGGTCAGTCAGTTACAACGTAGAACTTCGTACGTTAGTACATAAGTCCAGCTTGCCATACTGCATCAGCACAGAGACTCAATCGTCATTTCAAATCCCATAGTGGTAGAGATAGTCGAAGAATTAGCGGTGCTGAAAAATATTAGCGATCAAAGTTATTATTCAAGAAGTATAGTTCAGTGAGATAAATTTAGAAAGCGAAAGATGATGAGGAATTCAGAAGATTAGAATTTAAGAGAAACGAAGAGTGGATGCAACTGCACCATTCCAAACGATTTTGATCCATGCCATTCAAGGTCTCTAACTATTATGTTCGTCACTTAGTATGCTTGAGGCTATTATGAGTTTACCTTAGTCGATAAACGCGAACGAGACAATTACCAGCGTCCAGATAGGCTACCTTGAATCCCATGGTGTAAACAGAAGGCTTTGTAAGCGTAGAAAGTATATTCTACAAACACCCAGCAATCACAGTACAATCAAGCATACAACTCTCGTTTATTTATACATCATAGAAACATCCTTCGGACAGTTAACAAAATAGCACACTAAAATACACAGCAGCCAATCACAGCCACGGATTTTCCCGGTGAGAAATGAAACCTCAAGGTCAACTGTTCAGCCCATGCTGGCAAACGTGAAATCCAAAATAAGGCATTAATCAAGCCAGTTTTGGGGATCTAACATCCCCAACACTAACCATCGGTTACTATCATCTCGCAGATTACAACCAGGTAGCTTACATCTATTAACATGACTCTATTAGTTGTAGACTGATAGAAAAAACACGGCAACAACGGAAACACAACATTTCCAAAGTGTAAATCTGCATTGTATTCACTGACAGAAAGTTAGGTAAGCATAAAAACCTCATATAAAATTTGACTTATCAAAAATCTTTTGTAGTGAACTTAGGCCTCTGAAAATGAATAATCTCTATCTTTAGTGCAACAAAGTAATTTTTATACACCGACTGAATATTGAATCTACTTTGAGTTCAGTTATCTGTTTTTATACTGCTTTTTCACGCAGCGATACTGGATCGGATAGTTCAAATTGTGATGAGTTACCTGCATATTACGTATACTTATTGCAAAAAGTGAGTACCGTATCATGTGATTTGTTGAATACAATACCGTGTAACATTTTGTATAGTTGATATTCTTCTGGAACTGCCTTCAAAGGTTTATGTTAACTTATCACATAATAGGATGTATTATATTTAAGAAGTGCAAGTTTTCTAGGAACCCGTAACCTTATTCAAAGTCAGCTGAAAGTCTATGTTTAATTCAGAAACTTTTGATAAACATTCTGCATGAGCATATGAACTTGAAACTTCATTGAATCATCAGAGATTTTTAGATACAGTTTCCGAAAAAAGGATTCTTATATTAATGTTGTTAAATTTAAAGCAAGAAACCCTAGGTTACAACTAATTTAAGTCGATATCACTAGGAATTGTCGTCGTGTACGCGAACGTTT